CTACAGTGGCTCCAGCTGTGCTTAAGAGCTGGGCAGTGGCTGCCATCTGGCGAGGGGTGTTCTGACCCCGCAGGCAGGGGCGAGGCCACGGGGCTCCAGGGCTTTGGCAAAGCTCTCACCTCGCCCCCAAATACCAGCAATCAGAGTAGCAGTACAGGTAACTAACGATACAGGTAACAGAACAGCCACAGCTCCCAGGACCACGGCTGCTGAGAGCCTCCACTCGAGGCACCAGCCCCTCCCTCTCCGTCCCCTCCTCAGAGAACACCTGTTAGGAAGGAGCATTATCCCCCTCCTTCCAGGGAGGGAGTGGAGGCTCGGCAGTGGCAGGATCGAACCACACTCCGAGCCCACCAGAGTTCCTCCAGGTCGGAAGCCCCGGCCCTCCACGGGCAGCTCTGCCTGGGGTGGAGCTGTTGTTTCTTGAGGTCCAGAAGAGGGGTGTCAAGACCCCAACTGCCCATCTCCTCTTCTATTCTCCCAAACCCACCACAGCTGCCCAGGCTGAACCAGCCCAGGGAGCCGAGGGAGACACAGCCTGGGTCCCACCTGAGCGGCGGATGCTGGGTGCAGCTTCCTCAGGGTGGCCCAGGGCCCAGAACTGTTTGTCAGCCCCAGGAAGGAGGTGCTGCCGCGGCCCAGGGCAGGCCCACCCAGGCCCTCTCCCGGGAGCCTCTGGGACATCTCACCCTCTGCTTCCCACCCAGAGGCAGGACCTGGCTTCAGCCTCCCACCCCCACAGCCCAGTGCACCAGGACTCCCTGCAGGCCCCAGGCCTGTGCACCTCCCTGCTCTGGCGCTGCACCTTCTCAGCCTCCAGGGGCTGCGCCTGGAGAGGGCGGAGATCCTGCTCGCCCACCTCTGCGCACCCAGGCCTCGCACTGCCTGGCACACAGTAGGTTCTTCCATGAGCTCCGGATGATCAGATAGATGTGTATCAGCCCAAAAACCACAGCAGTGCCCTGGCCGGTTTGGCTCAGTGGATAGAACGTCAGTCTGCTGAGTGAAGCGTCCCGGGTTCGATTGTGATCAAGGGCATGTACCTCGGTTGCAGGCTCGATCCCTGGCCCTGGTCAGAAGGCAACCAATTAATGTGTCTCTCTTACATCTATGTTTCTTTCTCTCGCTCTGTCTCTCCCTCCCTTAAACTTTCTCTAAAAAATCAATGTAAAAATATCCTCAGGTGATGATTAATTAAACAAACAAACAAAAAACACAGCAGCAAGGCCAGAACCAGCCTCCAGCCCCAAACAAGAGCTGCAGAAGCCCTGGTGGCCCTCCTGCCCTCTGGGGGCCCTACGGGGGCAGATGCATAGGCACCGGCAAGTTTGGCCCCTCCCAGGACAGACAGCGACCTGCACCAGAGCAGAGGCCAGAGGGCAGAGGCTGCTCCCCACCCCGGGCAGCTCTCTGAGGCCCCAGGAGCAGAGCTGCTGGCCAGGCCAGCACGGACTACTGGGGCATGGCTTTGGTGCATTCAACCACGACCGGGCTCAGGATCTGGTGAGTGGGAGGGGGAAGGAGAAGATGTCCTTTAAAACTTAAATTTTATTTGCACTAAAGTTTATGATCCAGAATTAATCCCTTGAAGGGGGCAGAAGCTGGCCGGGATGTGACTATGGGTCTCGATCCAGAGGCACTGAGAATCAACGACGAGAGAAGGTGGTCGGCTGTGAAGTGGGGTTTGGGGCTGCAGTGCTCTGTGGGCAACCTGGTGGGTGCCATGTGCCTCTCCTGCGGGGTCATGTGTCTCAGTCCATACATGCAATCCAGCTCACCTCCTGCAGGAAGCATGGTAATCTTAGGAGCTCGTGGAAGACCCAGCTGGACAAGTGGCTGGGAGAGCCCCTGGGACTGTCCCTTTCCCAGTGGACCAGCAGAAGCCCATTTAGTGGGGACCCCCAGGAGAGATGGAAGAGGTGGAGAAGGATGAGAATTACCTGGGACAGGCAACTGCACCTCCTCCCAGGGTCCCCCAGGCCACACTGCTGCCCAAACCAGGTATCAGTCACAAGGTCGGCAACCTCCATCCCCACCCAGCCTGGAAAAGCCTCTGTGTCCAGGGATGGCCAGGCCCCTCCCCTCTCAGGGTTCTGGTTTCCTCCCTGCTGCACAGGAAGTTGAAATGCTGGAGGGGGTCCTGAGGGTGATGCAGATGTGGAGAGCCTGGCAGAAGGGGTGTGGCGTCTTCCGGCAGCATCCTCCTGAAGCCCCCACAGACCTGAGAGCCTCCCAACCGCCGGGGAAGAAAACTGTGCAGCCAGCCAGGGCCCAGCGTCCAGAGCCAAACGTCCAGAGCTGCTGACTGCCCCTCCCTGAGAGGAAGGTTGGGGCCTGGGTCTGTGTGAGGAGGTCGAGGGCAGTCTTCCATATCAGAAAGGAAGTCCTTCTGATTTACAAGCCCCAGGCACCTTGGGGAAATATTCTGAGGTCGCCCAAAACAGGGGACCACTGCCTCCAGCTACTGGAGAAATCCCCAAACAGCGAGTCTTCACCCCAGCCACTCAAATAAACGCCCTTGCTGCCAATGCCCTGCCCTGGGTGCCACCTGGGCCTCACAAGCAGCCTGGAGGCCGGCTGGAGCTGGGAACTGGGATGCGGGTTGCAGAGCCGCCAGAGCTGCGAAGGGGATACAGGAGGGTTTCACCAGCCGTGAAGCTTTGAAGGGCCATGTCCGGAGGGCTCAGGGCGCACAGCATCCCCTGGGTACCACCAGCTCCCGCAGCTGGGGGCAGAGATGCCGCTGGGCCCACTCCTGTGCCGGGTGAGAGAGTCCTGAGCGGAGAAGGCCGAGGACAGGGACACTGCGGGCTCGGTCCAGGGCTGTGCACCGCAACACAAACGATCGGGGAGTGCAGGGGCCACGGTCCAGGGCCCCCGCCGCCTCCACGGGGCGGACAGGGCGAGACAGGCCGGACCGGCAGGGGTCCGAGAGGGTGGCCGGGCCGGAAGAGGGGACAGGCCCTGCTCCAGGACAGGGGAGAGGGTCAGTGAACCACGCTTCCCAGGCGCCCGAGGGCTGAGGAACTCTGCGGGGCTGGACTTCCGCGGGGGCCAACCCTGGAGAGCAGGTCGAGGGGCGCGGTCTGGGCGCCCCGCCCCGTGACGTAAGCGCGCAGCCGCATATAAGCGTGCGCGTCCGCGCGTGCGCAGCTCCGCGCGTCTCGGTCGTGGTGTGGCCTCCGCGGTCTCCTCTGCAAATGGGCTCCCCGGCCTAGCGCCCCCCTTCCCGCCCCAGTGATCGCGCGCCGAGGTCCGCGAGGGGTCGCCGCCAAGGTGAGGGCGGCGGGGGCGGCCCCGTGCGTGACGCTGGCCGGGCGGGTCGACAGAAGGAACTGAGGACGCTGCTGGAGTTTCTCTCAGCGGGAGGCGCGTCTCTCCGGCACGAAGCTAATGAAGGGCAAATAGGCTATCTGAAACCCGAGCCGGATCGTGCTTTTATTTTTTATTATTGCAGTCTCTTGTTTTATTTGTCTAACCCCCCTCTTGCTTACCCAAAGGATTACACTTCTTGTTACCCGTGACGAGGTTGATACTGAATGTTTACTTAATTTCTTTTTTTTGCCTTTTTTTTCTTATTTTTTAATATTAAATTTTTCTTTCCCTACTCTTCTTT